GAATAGATAAAATGTTAGATTCACTTGCTAGAGCTACTTATTTTTCAACTCTTGACTTTATGAGTGAATACTGGCAAGTAATGATGAACCTAGCAAATAAAGAGAAAACAGTCTTTATAATAAGATATGATATTTATGAATTCAATATAATACTATTTGGACTTTGCAATGCTCCTGCAACCTTCCAACATCTCATAAATCAGATCTATAAGAACATAGCTTATAAATATATAGTTGTTTATTTAGATGATACTAATATCTTCTTTTGAAGTTTTAGTGATCATATTAAACATTTACATGAAGTTTTTATAAGAATCAGAAAAGCTAGATTAAAGCTTAACATAGAGAAATGTAATTTTTAGATAACAAAATTACCTTTTTTAGAATATATTATTGAAGCTAAAGGAATCTCTTTAGATCTAGAAAAGATTATTGCCATACAGAATATTTAACCTTCTAAAAATATTACTCAGATTCGATTATTTTTAGGACTCGCAAGATACTACAGAAGATTTATTAAAAGTTTCTTGACAATAGCTTAACTCTTGAACCAACTCTTACATAAGGATACTCTTTATGAATAGAATGACAATTGTCAAAAAGCATTTAAAGAATTGAAGCATAGATTAGTAATTGCCTCTATATTAATTTATCCTAATTATAAAGAAGAATTTATTCTTACTACTGATACCTTTTATGATAGATATGAAGCTACTCTTAGCCAAATCTCAGATATTAGAAAAGGACATCTAGTTGCCTACGCAAGCAAAAGTTTAAAGAAAGAAAAAGTCAAATATAATGCTACTGAACTTGAATGTGCTGCTATAGTATGAGCTATAGATCATTTTTATAAATACTTAGGAACTTACTACTTTACCCTAATTACTGACCATTCAGCTCTCCAATAGTTAAAATCTTCTTTACCTAAAGGAAGATTAGGATGATAGATGATGAAACTTCAATCTTATAACTTTATAATAATATATAAACTAGAATGGAAATATTCTAATATTGATAGCCTCTCAAGATTACCAAATCAGATACACCCTACCTCTATTCTTAAAACATGAATTTAGACCAATATCAAAATTTAGTAGAATATTTAGAAACAAATGAACTTCCTTCTGACTTAATGGACTTTGATAAATGGATACTTTTTAAACAATCTAGATATTATAAACTAGAAAATAAGTTACTATACAAAAAGAATAGAAGAGACTCAGACAAATCTATCCAAGTGATAAAATAAACTAAAATAGAACCAATTTTCTATATGATACATAGACACCCTACAGGTAGACATCTAGGAACAGATACAATATATTATAAAATATCTAAAAGATATTATTAGGATTAGATGTATAGAGATATAAAAATTATGTTCAATCATGTGAAATATGTCAAAAAAGAGGAAAAGGAAAAAGAAAAAAACCTCTCCATCCTATTCAAGTTGGACGTGCCTTTGAACATATAAGAATCGACTTAGTAGGACCCTTTCTAATAATGAAACAAAATAATTGCTATATTATAGTTGCCACTGACTATTTAACTAGATGGTTAGAAGCAAAAGCAGTACCAAACACAGATACTAAACCTTAGCAAAATTTATATTTGAAGAAATAGTTTGTAGACATAGAGTACCTAAAATAATACTTTTTGATAATGGAAGAAATTTTACAAGCAAAATAGTAAGAATATTATATGAAAAATTCTTAATTAAACATATATTCTCTTTTCTTTATCATTTTCAAACTAATGGAATAGTTGAATGATTAAACAGAACACTTTGTAGTTCTCTTGCAAAAGTGAAAGAAAAAGATAAAGATTGAAATATACATATACCAGCCATAGTATTTATATACAGGACCAAAAGATATACAATTACTGGATATACTCCTTTTCAACTAGTATATAAACGACAAGCTATACTCCTAATTGAAATAGTTATACCAATTGAACTAAAAGATATAGATGAAGAAATCAACTTAGAAGATTGTATTCTACACAGAGCATTCGAATTAATAGATGAATTACTTTATCAACATAATGAAGCTCAAAAGAATACAGAAAAATCTCAACAGAAATAGAAAGTTAGATTTGACTCAAAGATTCATACCAAAGAATTTGAAATTGGTAATAAAGTATGGATCTAAAGAAAAAATCTTGAAAACTCTCGCTATGCAAAATTTGAAGAAAAACGAAAAGGATCTTTTATTATTCAGTTAAAGTTGAATAATAGAGCTTACAAACTTAGAACCTACGAAGAAAAAATACTATTAAAATACTATAATAGTGATAGACTAGCAAAATATTATGAAAAACAGGACTGGCAACCTGTAATTGTAATAGAAAATTAAAAGATTTTTAGAGAAAATTCTTGAAATGCTATGAAACCTATTTTAGAATCAGATTTAATTTGTACAATATTAAAAATTTTCTTTCATATTATATCAAAACTTATAAATAGATACTCTTCCTCTTTATTTTTCTTAAATTTATAAAAACCTTAAAAATTCTTCTCTTTTAAAAATTACTCTTTTTGACAAAATTCTTAAAATGAACTCTATAATTACTCAACAAATGCAACCTGGAATCTTAGATGCATTGAATAATTTTCTTAGCTAATAAAATGAAGATTTGATCTCTTTAACCTCTTTTTTATTAATTAAAGGAACTCAATTCTCTCTAATTAATAGAAGATTATTAGAAACTTTATCTTTAGATGAAAATACTCAGAATGACAACTTAGAAATACTATTTTTAACAGAACCAGACCCCTTAGAACAACTCCTTGTTGAAATTAATTTTGATCCAACTTACTTTAACCAAAAAATAATAGAAGAAACAACTTCTTCTATAGAAAATATTGCTTCTTTAAACAGTTGTAATTTAGAACCAGAACAAGAAAGCCTTCCTCTTGCAACTCTAATCTCTCTTCAAGAAGATATTCGAATAAAAATTCAAAATGATTTTACTACAAATCATAATGAACTTCTGATTAGAATTAGCCCTCTTTCTTCATCTCTCTTTGAAGACTAACTAAATGAAATAATTTTAAGACTCTAAAATAGAACTCAAACAAAGAATCAAGAAAGCAAAATCAGAACTCTTGAAGCCTGCTATTATTTAGAAACATTAAGAAAGACTTATAGTAATGATTTTTTGAAGCTTAAAGAAATCAACTAAACTCTTCAAAACAAAATAGGTTAACGAAAGGCTAATATAATCCTAATAGAAGCCAAACGAATCTTTAAACTTCTTATCTTCTGTGGAAAAAAAAAGTTATACTCCACTAAGTATTTCACCTTAAGCAGTTTACATTGCTTAACAAATGACAACTTTCAGTTTTCTTTGAAGTATTAAGAAACTTACAGAGTTCATTTTTGAATAGGACGGAAATATTATCAAATGAGTTTTAATAATTTTATCTTTATTTTATATTTATTAATTAGTTATTCTTCATTTGTATTTTATAAATTATCTTATAAATTAGCAATATCTTTAACTAGCATTATTAGAATCAGAATAGTCTCGTGATTATAACGAGCTATAATTTGGAAAATTAGATTAGTAGTTATAGAGTTATTAGTGTTTAGAAATCCCTATTGATTTTAACTATAATTAACTACACTTGAAGATATTTGATGACGTTTGAAGATGTTTGATGATGTTTGATGATGTTTGAAGATGTTTGAAGATGTTTAACTATGTTTGAAGATGTTTGACTACATTTAAAGATGTTTAAGAAAAAGATATAAAAACTCTGCCTTTTCCTCTTCTGTTAAAGTTAGGTTTGTCCTCTACAATCTCCTTAATATTAGAATTCTCTTAGCACAGATACTAATAGATAGTCTTGTATTATAGATATTATAATATAAATAAAGAATACTCTTTATTTTAATATAATCTTTTTAATAAATAACCTTTGCAAAGTAATATCCTGCTTTGATACTGTTAAGAGTTTCTCTTTTGTGTTTTATATTACTTGTAATATACTAAGAAGACTATACTACTTGTAATATTTTGGTACTTTCTAACAGAAAATCAAAGAAACTTTTTTTTAAATATTTAGGATCTTTAAAGAAAGAATACCAGAAGAAACTTTTAACTAAGAAGCCTTTAAAAAATCTTTCTTATAAAACAAAGAAGCCTTTCTCTTTTTCTTCTAAGAAGTTTCTCTTCTTCCTTTACTAATCATAATTTATATTATACTTGATCTACATTATACAGATGCTGAAAAAGATTTTTAACTTCTAGAATCGATCTATGTAATATAAAAATACAAAAAATAACTTATATTATTTCAAGTCTAGAAAGACTAAGTTTACATTATATGAACTTTAAAAAGTTATATTTAAACTCAGAAGACTCCCTATTTATAACTACCTATTACCAAGAGAATAATAGTATATTTGTAATAACCTTATTAGATGTACTTAGTAGAAAGAGCTACTTTTAAGCCTCTGCATTAGTTGCATTTCTAGAGTTATTTCTTCTATCATAGATTGTTTTTAGATTAAACCTCTATTTTGTAATAAGTATTTTATAAGCCAAATCAAGTAGACATAAGAACTCAACTATAGCTAGTAGCTTACTATAAACTTTAACAATATTAGTTAAGTGTAAATTACTCACAAGCCAAACAAGTAGATATAAGTAATTCTAACTTTTTTAGAAACAGATTAGATATTTTAGAAACAGATATCCTATGATCCAAATGTGTAAGAGTAAGGTATCTTTTAACAAGAACCTATATGAATAGAGTATACTAGTTATATATAAAACAAATTTAACAATATAATCTACAATACCAGAATACTAGTTAAGCTCATAAAGTTGTACAAACCTTATATTTAGACTTATCTTATGAACTATGCTTCTCTATAACAAACCTTTATCTATTATACTGAGGATTCTGGATCTAATACTATTATATATTTTTTTTTTTTTTTTTTTTTTTTGCGCATTCTGTTTTGGGCGAAAAATTGATATTTCCTAACCTCGTCGGTTGTCACTATCTTTTGACTCTCTGACATCACATCATTATCCATAAATGCAACTCGTTTCTTAGGGCTGTCAACGTTGGACAAGAATGAATCACCACTCCCTATGGATATCCTTTTGACACCGCCTATTGTCTCCTTAACTTTGGAAACAATTCTGGTCTTCAGATCATCCATTGTCTCAGTACTTAGAATACTATCCATTGCCCCAGTACTTAGAATATTATCCATTGCCCCAGTACTTAGAAAATTATCCATTGCCCCAGTACTTAAAGTATTATCCATTGCACCGGTATTTAGTATATCACCTTTGAATAAGCCAGCGTTTTGTTCTTCAGCCTTTGCATCGTTTAGTATAGTCTCATCTACCTGGACGTCTTTCACTGGCGAAAACATATCCATATAATTTTTTTCCTTTGTCTCATTTGGAGTTTGTGGCGGTGGTGAAGGCTTTGAAAGCCTATTTGAAGCCGGAAGAGTTGAACCTCTTGATGATGTTCGAACATGATTCTGTTTCTTAACAATTGTATTCCGCCGATCCGCAGAACGATCCTTTTCCTGACATTATATATGAGTATAAACCTTGATAAATATGTTATCTTTTTTGAGATCCCGTATATTCGATATTTACCTGAAAATGTAAGCACTTAATAGAATGTGGTTCATGTTCACATAATATGCACACAGGTTTACTGGCTGCTCGCAGGTCGTATACCAAAATCTTACCTACCATATGACCATACTTTAGTAAAATGTTTACAGAACCAACTTGGAATTTTGAGAAAAAAAATAAAAAAAGGAATTAGTTTGTAACAAGTATCTACCCTGAGATGTGCCTGCAACCATAGTCACGCCATTTGCCTTGAATCCCAATGCCGTCAAAGGTATATCTGTATGTATAGTTTTCAAAGTTCTGTGATAAAAGAATATCGATTTACATTACCACACACTACTTTTACTAAAAAAAAAAAAAAAAAGTTTAATATCCTGTACATACGTCTTTTTACCAACATCGTACAGAACAATACGTTTATCCAAACCACCACTACACATTAAATATGAATTAAAAGGCGAAAATGCGATCCCTTTTATCTCAGAATAATGTGCATTCTCAAATGTTTGTAAAGCCGTTGAAGAAGCACTAGTATCCCATAATCGCAATGATCCGTCCTCGCCACCAGCTGCTAATAGCCCTCGTTTGAAAAAAGAATATTCCAGAACATTTACTGACTAAAGAATTTTTAGCAATTCGTAATATAATGCCAATATACGCATTTCAAAGAGAAATTGAACTGTACCTGTTTTGTTAAAACAGTTAAATTATCACATGCATTAGATTTTTGCCGATTATGCACAAGGATTTGTCCACTTATACTTGAACTAGCCACAATTGTTTCGTCAACGTTTAAATCAACACATGTGATAGTGTTGCGATGACCCTTAATGTAATTTAATATTTAATTTTGATTTTTTTTTTTTAGCTTTTAACGCATGAAGGTAAGAAATCATTCATAAGTCATATAATATTAGTAAATCAAAACCATTCATTACCTTCAATGGTTCGGTAAACATTGATTCTTTACGATCCCAAATGTTGACAATTTTATTGGACCCTCCATATAATACGTATCGTGATTTGTTTGCAAACCGAACAACGTTTATATCCGGTATATCCTAGATTATCCATGAATGAATTCAACGTATAGCTCAATTCTCTGGTGGTACTCAGTTGGCAACCAATATTTTATGTAATATTCACCGATCCTTCTTCATTCAATGGTATGGTCTCGAGGAGTTTTCCTTGTGAATCATGTATCGTAAGATTTCCTTTATTTCCTGCTACGGCCAATTGTTGACCTTAAAAAGAAAAAAATTAAGGAAAAAAAAACTATAAATTTTAAATTTTTATGAGCGATCATTAATAGAAACAGTGCCATATAAATGTTATTGCTTGTATGCATGCAAAGATACCATCGTGGTTCCATCGAACTGCGTTGACAGCTGTTGACAAATCGACAGGCGCAAAAGAAGTTATTACGACACCCGAAAGCTGTTCTGGGATACTTGTAGCAGATTTTCCTTTAGTTTTTAAGTCTCCTACACTTGTCTGTAAATCCCATACTTTAACTTCAGTTGATGCGGAAACTAATAAATCTGACGGCATTTTTGTCTATAAATTTTTCAAAAGTCTATAGTTTCTATAATTTCTACACGAAAATTTAAATGTTACAGCAGTATTTATCAAATTTATCGTTATATACGTACGCGGATTATTTTTTGTACAACGTCGCCAACCATTTACGTAACCAAGAAAGTTGAAAACCCGAGTAAGCATAAGTTGTCATAAGTTGTGCAATATTCACTGCATTTAAACTACTTTTTTGTGGATAAGATAAACAAATAACCAAAAAATGTTGCGAGTAATATATCTATATTAAGATTATTTTTTAATTTGTTTTGTAGCAAAATTTTAAATTGCGTCTTGGGCGGTTTAGTATTATTTGCCTGGTCTATGATATTTACCAATTTCGTTAGCATTTTACCGACAGTCAGGGTTTTTTTTATTCTTTAACTTTATTTTTGGAATATTTCGTACTGCTCTTAAAGAAATTTTTGCTCGTATTTTAGGTTTTAGAACTCTGAAATCTAATCTCTCTTGCCTTAATGCTAGCCTAAACTAATATTAATGTTATAAATATATTATAAGCAAATTTAAATTAGAAATTGATTTTTTCGTAATTAATTAGTTCAAGTTTTTTTTTTTTTTGCATTAATATTAATTAATTTACATCACAAAGTGCGAGGCCTGCACGTAAAATTAAATTAATTAATAGGCTTTTGGGATGTTATGTAGTATAAAGTAGATGGGATAATATAATAACTGATAAGTACAAGCTCTGCAAATAATGTTTTTTTTTGTTTTAATACAGTGCTACCCGTATAATAAAATGATCTATTATTAATCCCAATAATACAGTAGATATGAATATCTTTCCGTTCAATTATTATTATTTATTTTTATTATTTCTTTTTAGTTTTCATTAATTTCTTTTAATTCCATATTCACAATTCAACTTTTATGTGTTAAAAAAGGTCTTTCAAATGCTTCTTTTATTCTCTTGATCTAAATTTATTTGTAATTAATTTAAAGACCAAGAACGAAAGAACAGCATATAAGTTTACAATCAATTTACCTTCTGTTCACCTAGACCGGGACAAACGGCAAGTTCATCCGACGAAGTATTTATAATCCGTTTAAGAGACTATTTATGGGAATATTAATCAATTAGTAAGTTATTTAAAAGGAAGTACTATATGAAAATTATTACTCACCCCAAATGATGATGCTAGAGTGACGACATCAGTTTTATTTACAGATTTTATTTGTGTCAAGCAATGTGTCAGCTATGATTGATCATGTAAAAAAAAAAAACGAAATGTTTATATGGTCATATATCAAAATGATCCGTTATAAGCGAAAGTGCACCTTTGCTAAATAATCGTTTTCAATTTTTTCCATAATTATTTCAGGTGTTTTATATTCAAACATTTTGTATGTTTCAAGATATCTTCCCGCTTCCTCTTGACTAAAGAAAAATTGATTTAAAAGTCAATCCAATAAATCAGAATTAAAGTAATGTTATTGTTACCTCCATGCCAATATTATTGTAAAATTGTTAATAATGCAAATTTTTGTAAGTTCACGAATTGATTCCTGATGGGATTCCTGAAATAATTTAAAATTAATCAATATCTGTTGAAAAAAAAAAAAAAAAGAATTGGAAAATAAATATTTACAATATCAACAAGAATTAACAAAATTCTTAATATATATTGATGGGCAAGTTTTTCCATTCTGTTAAAAATATATTCAGGATGAAGACGATGATACTTAAGACTATTATAAATATTAATATATCAGTTGATATAGCGCATAATTAGTACTTCGAAGAAGAGAAGTCACTATACCTAAGAAATAATGCACACGTTGTTTGTCCTAATAAATAATCTGGTGCAATTTCGCTATATTCCCATGATACATTGCGGATGAATTGCAGGATTGGATTGCCACGCTAAAATTCGGAATACCGAATAAATTTGGTCAATTAATGAATAAAAAATATATTAAGTCTTTAACTCTATTCACCTGACATCCATTTACAAGAATGGCATTCGACGAAGTCGGTCGCCTTGATGATGAAGATTTGGATCCATTATTATTTAAAAAAGGACCTTGATCCAAAACTTCTCTAGTGCATTTTATAATATGTTCAAATCTAACAGGACCAAGCGAAATTCCACCAAACCATCGTGTAACAATTACAGCCACATTCTTTGCGTCCAATGTTTTAAGAAGATTCAAGATGCGTTCCCCGGCATATTTCTCACCATCATCATCGCTTTCTGATCAATAAAAAAAAATGTTTTTTTACTTAAAATGACAAGCATATTTAGGGTTCGAGGCACAGCATGCCTATCTATGGGCATACCATTGATATTCTACTTATAAAAATATTACCCGGTAATATGAAATCTTTTTCATTAAGTAAATCTTTCTTGGGCTTCTTAACATAAGTTGTAGAAGTAAAAATAGTCTGGTAAAATATGAGTTATAAACAATTTATATTTCATAATTATGTGAAAGAAATCTTAAATGAATTATTCATAATTCATGCTTTACTAGGGTAAAATTTTGGTAAATTTATCACTATTAGAACTACAATAATTGCCTCTACAACTTATATTAGAAGCCCAAGAAAAATTTATTCAATAAAAAAATTTCTTATAATAGTAGACAAAGAATTAAAAAATTTTATTGGTCAAAAACTTTAGGACATTAATTTTTTTCATGCCTTGAACCCTTAGCATATTGAATCAATAATAATGTATTATAAAAAATAAACCTTCAACGATAGTTCCGTCTGAAGATTCTAACCGAAAGGCCAGTACATTGTGTGTCGCGTTTTTTTCTTCGGATTTTATATAGCTTAAAAAATTATCAACTTCTTGCTTGGTTTCTACTCTTTTTGCATGAGCAACAAATATGCTTCTGCGATCCTTAATACGTGAACTATGATATATATTTATTAGAGTTGATTCGGTAGAATTTTCGTTAATCTCTTCTGACATTGTAAAGATGGATTTAAATCCGAGTTTTTTAGCTTTTTATGGAATATCTGCAGGTTATCCCCATGCAGCTCACTTTAAAAAGAAAAAGTATGTGTGCATAACTACGTAATTTATTTATCATGAACGAAGAAAAAGTTACGACTGATATTATTACTTTGACCCGACATGTTCTCGATGAACAACGTAAACACAAGGAAGCTAGTGGCGATTTATCTTTATTATTGAATGCTGTTCAACTTGGCTGTAAATTCGTAGCGACCAACGTTCGAAAGGCGCGGTTATTAAACTTGTAAGAATATATTTTCAAGCAGTTAACTTTCAGAGTGCATATTAGAATGTCAAATTCTTGTATTATCATCTGGAACTTAAAATTTTTTTGTTTTTTTATCAGAATTGGTCTTGCTGGTGGAGCACAAAATGTTTCGGGTGAAGACCAAAAAAAACTTGATGTTATCTCTAATGAAATTTTCATCAATGCACTTCGTTCTTCCGGAAAAGTAGCCGTGATGGTTTCTGAAGAAGATGAGGATGCAATCATTGTTGAAGAAGGATTGAAAGGGAAATATTGTGTAGTGTTTGATCCATTGGATGGCTCTTCTAATATTGATGCAGGTGTTAATGTTGGTACAATTTTCGGTATTTATCGAGTGGTGAGTTTCCTACTTTTGAAAGTTTCCTACTTTTGAAAGTTTCCTATTTTTGAAAGTTTTCTACTTTTGAAATTTTTTGATGTTAAATTTTGAATATCGAATAATTTGATGATATTAAAGAATGAAGGGTCAGCTGGGACAATCAAGGACGTTCTTCGCCCTGGTCGTGAAATGATTGTTGCCGGTTACTGTATGTATGGTAGTTCGGCAAATATGGTCCTTACGGTCGGAAATGGTGTGAACGGCTATACTCTTGACAATGTAAGTCTCAAATGTGATGTTTTGTAAATGAATTTGATAGATTCTTATTCTGATTAGTTTTTTATAGGCTATTGGTGAATTTATACTTACTCATCCCAATGTAAGTAATAAGAATATAAAATACTTTTCCACATATATATAATAATTTATTTATATAAAATCTTTAATAAAATCTTTATAGATTAGAATTCCATCTCGTGGCAAGATATATTCAGTGAATGAAGGTAATGCAAAATACTGGAGTGAAGCTTGCCAAGAATATTTTCATTCGCTTAAATTTCCACCAGAAGGTAAAAACCCATATTCAGCCCGTTATATCGGATCTATGGTAGCAGATGTTCATCGTACACTTTTGTATGGTGGAATTTTTGCGTATCCTGCTGACAAGAAATCCAAAAATGGGAAGCTTCGTGTGTTGTATGAATGTTTTCCTATGGCCTTCTTGACAGAACAAGCAGGTGGTAAAGCTATTACTGGTCTTGAAAGAGTGCTCGATGTTGTTCCAGAGAGCATTCATTCTAGATGTCCAATCTTCTTAGGTAGTAAAGAAGACGTGGAGGATGTTGAAAGACTTTATAAAAAGTATTCGAAATAATTTGTTAATACAACTAATTTAGAATAATTGATTTATTTTGGTCATTTATCAGTTTGTGTATATATTGCTAAGCAATGCAAACTATGAATCATCAACATTTTAATAATGTCAATTTATTTTAACGCAGTATCCGTTGAATAAATTGGTAAAAGTCTATATTATTATATTATTTCTTGAATAAATTACTTGTGCTATTTTTTAATTAAGTTAAATTTATAAAATTACTATGTTGAAAACAACCAAAATCGTATTGAATTTGTAAAAATACTATTCCTGATGGATCAGAAAATTACAGCTATCGCTATTCATTATTCTTGGGACACTCGACTAAAAATTAGCCGAGTGATTAACTATTTGATTCGACAAGTTTTTGATTTCGGTATGATTAGTATACAATGTAGAGGTCTGATCCGGTCAAAATATTAGTATATATTCGAATATTCATTCGTTCAATCTCCTAATATTCGTCAATGAATATTCTAATATTTGTTGAATACTGGTTAATTTCAAAAAACCAATATTTACAGGCCATTTAACTATACCAGACCCATAATATTTCTTGAACATATATACAAAATCTTTACTAAAATCATTACTAATTAGCTTGGCAAAATAATGTTCAAATATTCTATTCTAGACCCACATAACTTTATTGCTTTACTATATTTTTCTACTATACAACCAATACAAATTCTTACTAATATATTTCAAAAAACACAAATACAAAACAAAAAAATCAGACTTCTAGCTCAAAACATATATATTTTACTTCTTTAATATGTATTAAACTAAATAAATCTTTTTTTTTTTTTTGTTATTAAGATAGATTTCTTGGCTAATTAGATTTTATTAATTTGTTATTATAGAGTTACTGTAGTAGTAATCTCTTAAGGTTTTATAGTTACATGATAAGTATACAACAAGTCATACATACAACTTTAGTCATTATCTAATTTAAGTAGTCTGTTATACAGATGATCGATTATCTGTTGGTTCTACATTATGTTACTATACCTGCAACCTGTCTATAAGTTATCTATTTAAATACTTTAATTATTAATTCTTCTTTCTATTCCAAACTAATATTACTATTATATCTAATTATTTTTGTTGATTTGTTTGTAGCTCTCTACTAGTTTTATATTTGCTAATCTTTTCAGATATTTTATAAGGTAGATTTTCCTAATCCAGTTAGTTCTAAGTCAAGTTGATATACTAATTCTTTTCATATAATAAACTTACTTGTACCTAATTTGATCTATATTTTTAAAATAACAGTTTTTTTTCTAGATTAAATATTAACTAGTATAACTATTGAAAGTTATACTACTTTACTAACTTAGAATTTCTACTATGCAGATCTTCTACTTATAGATTCTATCAAGATTTATTTATATAATATTATATCATACTTCAATATTTAGATAATATTAGTGTAATATAATTTACAAAATTATAATTTTAGAAACAGATAGAATTTACTGTAAATTAAATCTAAGTAATTATTCAAATTCATTGATAGTAGGATTTAAACTCTAGACTTATTGTATAGCAGTCTAACAATTTAACTACTATACTAAGATTACTAAATCTTAAATAACTTTTTTTTTTTTTTAATAGTCTTATTATAAAACTTTATTAAATTGTTAATATATAGATATCTTACTTATTATATTATGACTTTAGTATCTAAGAATCTCTAATTTCTTAAGCTTAACATTACTCAGCTACTACTAAAAGTACTCAAGTATAACTTGTCATACTAGTTAATAGAATCAGAACTATAATATCAGACTGCTAAAACTAAATTCTTTCTAATCTAACTAATATTAAATTAAAAGTTGTTAATATCTAGTAGTAAGAAAAAATAAAAATTATTACTATTTTAAAAGCATTAAGCTTACTAACAGAGAAAAACTTGCCTTAAGTTGTAAAAATTTTATTAGGTAGTAACATAATAGAAGGAATAGAATACTTAAAGAAAATAAAAAGATAATTAAATATTTTATAATTTAGGTCAAGTTTAAAAATTTTAAGTTGTATAACTTATAACTTATCTTAAAAATTTCTTTTTCTAATATATAATCTATTTTTAAAATTTAGGACCTGTAGTATTAAGGTCATATAATAGACTAAATAACAAACAAAATATATAATTTTGTTTATTATATGAGGTAATATATCTATAAAGTATTTCTAAAAATAAAAAAGTAAACAATACTGATCTTCTGTAAAAGTAAACTTAGATTTCTCAATTTTGTTAAGAAAAATAGAAAATTAAAAAGAAAAAGCTTGTATTATTAATATTGTATCTTAAATAAAATATAATCTTTGCTTTTTTATTAACTTTGTAATAAACTATTATAGTGAAGTAATGTTCTACTTGGATACTATTGAGAGCTTCTCTTCTGTATCTTATATTACTTGTATTGTATTAAGAAGATCAACACTTGAACAATAGTAATAATTTTTGTACTTATTACTGTAATTTTAAATATATATTTATCAATTTGCTTATAGCTTTCTTCTATACTTTTAATTACATTAATGAGCTTCTGAGGTTCTTCTTCTCTAAGTATTGTTTTAAGACTTGCTAACTTTCTTTCTTCTAGTAGATAGCTTTCTTTTAGCTATCTTATTTAGTTATGTCTCTTGTCTGCTAACATTAATCTTAATTTAGTACTTTAAATAGAAGTGACTATAGCTTTTTTTTCAAAAAACTCTGAGATTTTTCCTAATTGCCTACGTTCTGTTCAGTTTAAAGCCTATATACTACTCTTCTATTAGCTCATATCTGATACATCTAGTCAGTACTTTGTATATGTGAAGTTTGTTTACCTTGTTTTATAATTTTGTATTATGTGAGATAATCTGTGAGTTAAAGTAAATTTAAATCTCTACTTTTTTTAAAAAAATTAGTTTGACTTTAGCTAAAAGTCTTATTTTTTTCTGTATACTTTTGAGAATTTTTAAATTCTTCTTTCTACTATATATACTTTTATGTGCTCTTTTCTTTTGTTTAATACTTCTTGTAATATTTCTTAATATAGTTTTTGTAAAATCTATGTTTTTGCTTTAGCTCAAAATCTTGTTAAAATAATCTATAGAAAGAGTTTAATGATTTAGTAATTTTTGTATAAGTTATTAAAAAATTATAATAATATACTAAAAAAATAATATAATAATTTTTTCTTTTTTTTATTTTTTTATATTATTAAGGCGGCTTACATTGCCGAAGGAATTTTATTAGAATTGCATACGGGATATACATTGATAGTCCCTACTG